CATCGGTTACTTGGGTCCAACCGATGATCGATTACAAAATTACAACCGATTGACAACACTAGTGGTGCATGTATATCTGCACTACGTGGTGGGTTGCATTGGTGGGATCGTAGAATAAATCGACACTGTGCCTGCCAATTTTTGTGACTTTTCCCCCTGTAAGCTATGTATGGAGTTAAACTGTTGATCTTCGTATTTCGCGAGAAGACATGAACTGTCATTTTTGGGATTTTTGAGAGGGTGCAACTGCCTTTGACCCTTCAGTGTGCAGATTATGTGCTTTGATAATATTGATAGTTTTGAATGGTGTATTATTCAATAAATTTCGTGCAATTAGTTAGACAGTCGAGGAGCAATTATTTCATAAGTCAGATGTTTTCATAACGTTTTTTACGAGGTTTTAATATGCATAGTAAATTCCATTATTAAGCGATGTACACTGCACAGCAGGTAAAATGTACAACGTGATTGGACAATGTTCTACTAACTTGAGTGTGCAGCAACTTTCTGGCTTGACGGACATGCGCCCCCGTTATTGCGCACAGCGCGCGGCTAAGCCGCGCCCCCCCCAGCGAATACGCTGCCCCCTTATTGTCCTCTTAGACAGATTAACCTGAATCGCTCTAAAAATGAACTCCGCGAAAATGGGGCGGAATCCAACCGACCTCCAAACGGCCCCTATAAATTTTTGGCGGTGGCGCGCCTTACGGGTAACACATAGTGGCTCCTACAAGAAACCCCAAGAAATGCTGTCACTCAGCGACCACGCGCTCGCTCATTCGCCGCTACGCGATGACGTGGGCTACTGCCGAGTATAGCGTCATGTCTATCACAGAGGTTTTAACGAAGTCTGCTATGGCGCTCCACGTGGGCTGGCGCAGTCTAGATGCTACCTCCAAAACCGCAGTCGCGGCGCCTGGCTGCGTACGTGGCAAGTTTTTACCAACCTAACCCCGCGCTGCCCGTGGCGACGGCACGTCGTGCGAGCACGTGCTGGCGTGGCCGTGCCAGTTTTTACACGTGGATACTTGCAAAGCAGCAGCAGCAGCAAGAAATACTGGCCCATGCAGCAGCAGCAAGAAATACTCGTCCCTGCTGCAGCGCGCCCCTGGAGCAACAAAGCAGCAGCAGCAGCAAATGCCCCCACCCAAGGCCGCCGTAGCTGAGCCGGTGTAGGTGTGACGAAAACTGCGCGATGTTACGCTGCCCGGTATACGGATTCGCGCGCCCGCCCTCCTTCGGCGCGCGAATTCGTATAGCGGGCAGCGCGAGATGCTACATACAACACCCCGCGGTCGAGTGCGCCCAGCTCCCGCGGAAGTGCGCGGCTTAACCGCTCTCGGCGGTCGGGGAACAACGCATCTTTTGCGAAACGCCATCTTGCACCCGGTCTCTCTGGATTCCTGTATGTATTCTTGATTTAAATCTGTCATCTGCCCATAACCGTGAACTTTCGTGCATTATCCTCCCCAGCACGTCGCGCACTCTGTTCTAGATGTAACTTACATCATAACTTATAAAATCACCTTATTAATCTTAAGCTGGGTTTACACTACCGACTTTATGTTGTCGAATTGGCGAGTTGGACTAATTTTGCCGTTCGGTAACTCTGAGTTTGCGAAAATAGAACATGTTCTAATCTCCCAACTAGTTGCTATCGACCAGTTGCTCGCACGACTTTTGCGTTTACACTGCCGATTGTCGGTTGTCTAGTTGGGAAGTTGGTCCAATTCGCCAACATAAAGTCGGTAATGTAAGCTCATCTTTACACGTCCTTCCGGACTGTGACCAACTATAGATAACCAACTAACCAACTAACCAACTAACCGGACTGTGACCAACTAAGACTGTTTGACTTGTGCTCCACAAAACGTTGATAACGTACAAGATCGCTAAAATCACTATAGGATTGGAAACGGAAATCAGAAACGGGAAACGGAATCGGAAATCACTGCACAAGAACGCGAGAATGGCTTCCGCGTCGATATCTGCGTGCGCTCACTGCAAGCGTCCCCCATTTACGCCGACACGCAGCGGACTTAACGTGCGATCGGAGGGGGCGGGTTGATGCGGGGGTTCACAGCAACAGTCTTCTTCTCCGCCGGTGCTTGCAGAACGCGGTGACGAGAACCACGAAGGCGATCGACGGCAGCAGGGTCGCGCATAGTATCAGCATTATGGTCGCGACGCTCAGCCCCTGCGCAGAGTGGTCGCTTTCGAACTGCGAGGCGAGGCCGCTGATCCTTGGGTGGCTCAGTTCCACCTTCACGTCGTTGTAGCCGCCGCCGCCGCCGCCGCCGATGAGACCCTCGCCGTCCCGAGTCGCGGTGGTCAAGTCGAGTGGACGCGTCCATCGCGGCTTCGGAATAGAAAGCAGTCGCCTCGGCGAATAACCATACTGACCGGTGCTGCTGTCTTGACCGCTGGACACCGCCGCGCGTTGTTGGAAGACCTTGCTGGGTGTCGTCGCCGAGGCAAACGCTCGGATGCGCTTTTCGCTAGCGGAATGCGTTCCCCGCTGACCCAACGCGTCGTCGCCATGCGCGATCACCATGACGACGTCGTCGGGTTCGCGAAGCGACGCAGCGGCGATAACGGGGTCGTAACCGGGTGCCCCCTGGTGGTCGTCGACGTATACCTTTCCTTCGAGGTTTGCGCTGAACTGCCACTGCAGAAGCATCGAGTCTTGAGCCAACGCGCGAGACGTTTTCGGCGACTCCCCGCCTCTGCCGGCAACGCAGCGTAGACAGAGAATGATGCTCCCCGTCTGTACCACCGCAGTGGCGCCTCCTAGCGATGGGACGCTCCACCCAGCGGTGGTCGCTGACCACGTGATGCGGTGCGTCGTTGCCATCAAACGCACGCACGACCTCTGGTGGTCGTTCCCATCATAGGTGGCGCGCGTAAATTCGCTGGGCGAATCGACGCGCACCTCTGCATTAGCCGATCCGCACGCGTGGACGATGGCTGGTGTGGTGTCCGGGTAGGCACGCGAGTGAACCGAAGAGATCAGTGCTATGATGGCGAGCACTGGCACCACGCGGGCGTCCATGTCCTTAACTGTTCGCTACTACTACAGAAGCTACTGCTGTGCGGTGTGCCACACGACGGTCTGAGCCCAGCATTCGTGTGCGTCGCCTCACGTTTCTCGATTCTGGTTGCGCGTAGTGACAGGTTAGAAGCGTTTAGATGCGTATCTATTTCGCAGACACAGTCGCCCGAGTGCTAAACAGTGCCGCCGGTACTACATACTGCTGCCCTCTCTCTCTCTCTCTCACGCACACACATGGACAACCTATGGACTCGAGATAGCTCTTAAGCAAACATGAGGTCGCAACTGCGCGTGGACTCTTTGCAAACCTGATTGATAGCCGTGTTGTAATGTCAGTAATACATATAAAGAGAGATAAAGCGGATATATATAGTGACTGTGGTTGTCAAGGTCGATTTATGAAAAAACTTTCAGTGCAAATATCTAGAATAGTATAGGAGCAACAGTGATACAGCATCATCGTGTCAATATTGCCCCCTCCCCCGTGACAAGTTGTAGCTCCATGTATTTTTAGGTGGTAGAGGTGAAATTTATTGTCGTATTTACGCAGCTGATTAATACAGTCAGCTGAATACTGCGATGTCTCAATTGGTTGAGTGCCTCGCCTCGCATGTGCGAAGGTCCGGGTATCAACTCCCGCCGCGCTCATACCAAAGACTTGAAAAAGTGGCTAGCACACGCCTTCTCTGGCTTT